GTTCTTAATTAATTAAACGTAAACTCAATCTCTAACGTCTGATTTGCTCAAACTTCCTGGCTCTCTTGCATTAGTGTCTGTATATTTAATTTTGGGCGGCATGGTGGCTGAGTGGAGGGTACTCTTGCTTCTCAGCAAGAAGGTCTGGGTTCTAATCCCGGTCTGAACAGGGCCTTTCTGAGTGGAGTTTGCTCTGGGAAAAGGGCTACAACGGCCCCTCTGACAAGCCTTCACAAACTACATAGACTCATACTAGGCAAGGTAGGTGAAGTGTCTTGCTTCAGGACACAACAACGGTTTGGCACTTAACAACTACAGTCACCCCACTGTGGCACCTGGTGTTCCTATAGAGGTCAAAGCTGGTTCAAGCTTTCACAGGCAGGCAGCGTAGATGTCTTGATTTGGACATTTCTTTACTTTGACTTTTTTGTCACATTTCCCATGACTGCAGACCGGCTACCATCTCTCTGCCAGTCTGTCCCAGGGCAGCTTCAGAAGTTGGGTGTTATGTAATGCATGGTTACAGGTCATCTCTGTGATGAAGTGTCCACCGTGCTCCCTTAAAGAGTAATGTTTTTCTAGCTATAGGTTTTTTGAGCAGTAGTATAAATATTTAACAGCAATCACCCAGGGAAAAACAGTAGATAAGCACAACGCCGGGATGAACAAATCTTACAACATTTGTAAACTTGGCTTTCATTTCCCCTCTCTTTGGGGGACTAAACTGTAGTATACTTGGACACTACTTCTTGTATTTTATAGCTGACAGTTGAAGCACAAGGTCATGCTGTTGTTTTATGTGAAAGTGAAAATGGTGCACACATATTTTGTTATTGACATGCATACTGAGTGTCCATTTCAGCTCCATTGCATCTGAACTTGACCTTGTCTTGAAAAACATTAGAGAAGGTCTTTTTCGCAGTGACGCGGACCTGCTAGTTCATGCCAGGGGATCATAACAAAATAAATCTCCTTCAGTGGGCCCTATGTTGTTCCAGTTTAAAAAACGTGAAGCTGCTTTGGGACAGGCGCTTTATCAAAATAAAGGCCACTGTTCAAATAAACTCGACGCACAAGTTCAGGCCTGGAGATTTTTGACATTTACGGGCCACGGCTTTTCTCATGGAGATTAATGCTTTTTAAAGAAATGGGATATTGAATAAATATTAAACAAATGTTCTAAAGTCTTCCCTGGAAGTGAATCGGCTTGTTTTGAAATTGATAAAAAGGCCGTGAAGTGTCAGAATCCTGGGTGATGACTGCGCGTTTAGAAATCAGACAATAGAAGTTGAATGGTTGAGTGCTACCAAAGCTTAAGCCAAGGAAATATTCAGGGTAGGAGTAAAATTGCATTAGCTGGTTGTCAACACTTGACAGGAACTCTTATTTTCAATAGAGGCATGCGATTTTGGACAAGTTATGGTGTATATATAATGTAATCTATACAGGGACACATGTATTTATAAGCATTGAGGTTCGGGAAGTTAAATTTCCCTTTCAAATTTTTGATATATATATTTTTTTTATTCTGATTATCAAGAGTTTGAAAGCACAATAGGTAACTAACTATCTGTCCACAGCATGTTGGTTTTGGACAAAAAAGAAAAATGTCGTGTAATGTGTCGTGTCATGTTATGTCATTTTCATCCCCTCGAGCTGCACCCAAATCACATTGTACCAGCCCCTTGCCGATCCTCTTGCAGGTGGTGGGTCCAGGGAAAGATGGCTGCTGCTTAGACAAAGATATGGCCGCAATAGGGTATAGAGCTGCAACGTTGTTGTGTACAATGACATTTGCTAATTATTGATAAACTCAAGGCTGTGTCGTTACAGACAGAGCAGCCATCTTCCTGTTGACTCACCACCTGCAGGAGGATCAGTGAGGGGCTATGGTGCAGCTCTGACTACCACCCGCCCGACCCAGAAATGGGTAAAGGGGAAGACGATGAAGATGGAGGACAAACTACACCAGCAAATTTTTGACTTCACTGACACCGACCTACAACACGTGCCTCTCCCGCTCACTGATTGGTCGGAGGGGATTCAACCGAGGAAACTGCAGCCGCTAGGATCAGACCCAGACGTACATGTAGGAAATGATAATGGACTAGAGTTTACAGATGGCTAAGGACAGGCGAATGAAATGCAGACAGAAAGCAAACACTTTTTACGGATGTGTTCGTATCTTTATTGTCATGAAAACCTTAAGTCAGCTACAAAAAACATGATGACTTTACCCTTATATAAAAACATACACAAACCTTACTTTACAATAAGTACATACAATGCATAAAGCTACTACTCCCCAGAGATCGCTCGGTTACAATCGAGGATGTGTGAAAAAATAAATTTAAAACACCCGGTACTATCACTGTTTAAAGTTCCAACGACTCCAAAAGTTTTCCAAACAAAGTGTAACTGTGTAAATGTAACTCAGTATGAGGCACCTCTGTAAGCAGAACAAACATTAAGTATTTAGACATGTGAAAAGAGGAGTGTGTGAAGTCATGCATGGTCTACAGTGGAAAGACGCATGCACAAGTCAACCTACACAGCTGGGACGGGGAGGAGGCGGGGGAAACATGTTTGGATAAGAATAGAAACTGGAATAGCACCTTTTTACAGCGCGTCTGTTTGGCCTGAGTGTAGTGTGTCCTTCTTAGCCGTACACTTGACACATCACTTCCCCCGGGGCACAGAATATACAAGCTGGGAGGACGCTCAACAGGGTCTCCTCTGCACGCAACCCTGGACCAGTATGGAAGTAGCACTGGCTGGTTTTTTGAGGCTCTCTGTGCGCTTGGATTGGAGGAAAGTTTGAGAACAATGTCTGTTTGTGCTGTTTTGAGAAATAAAAGATTGACTGAAGAATTGTGCATGCTTAAAGAGGCACGGAGAAACTTCGCTTTTTATGGATGCCGTTGGGTTGGGTTTTTTGTGTTGTAAAGTTATTGTTTCAAACCAGATAATATGAAAAAGGAGTATTTTAATAGGGGTCAAAACCACAAACATGGAGCTATGTAAAAGGAATTTTGAATTATTCCTTGGCTCTCAAAACATTTGGGTTCCATCACTAGTTTTCACATGTGCTTTAGGCCTCTGTCACATCTGTAGGGTCACAATTTCTTGATCAAAAAATCAAAGTGAGGGCTGTAGGACCGCTTTTTCTAAGCCAGCCAAAAGCTTCAAATTGTGACTTACAGGCATCTTTCTTACGGCAATGCAAAATATGTTTTCTAATAAGAGTAAGATAGCTTGTTGCGGACTGATTTGTTCCCAATATTTCAAAAGAGTCTTTCTGTTTTTATGATACAATTGAAGTCAGCTACAACCACTACTACTATAACTTTAAAATCCACGGAAACATGTATTAATAATAATAACGAATAATTAATTAGTTTTATCAAAATTTCACCACTGCAAAATTCAAATTCAGTTTTTTTATTATTCTCAATTTTTTGTTTTTGTTTTTTTAAGCTATCGATAGATTTGCACCAAACAGCTGTGTCGGTGAGCTGCAGGACTCAGGTATAAGACCCAAACAGCTTCATAGTGTAACAGAAAAATACATATAACAATATATGTGCTTTTAAAATCAGTGTTTTGGGTTTTCCACTTCTATTTACCGACATCATGAAGCTTGAAAGTTCAGTAGACATTTTACTTTGCTGTGGTGGTCAGTACACAGACGCCCAGAGAAATAACCTGTGCATGATTATGAATTGACTGATGGACCATACATCTAGGGGAAATGTTATTTATTGTACAAACAAACACAATTCAAACTTTTATCAATAAATAAAAAAGCAACAAAATCCACAATGACAAATGGGGTTAATTGCGTTCATGTCATTTATTATTTCATCACGTCAAAGCCGCTTTCATGGATTGGCCTTATCTTTACTGTCTTACAAATATTAAGTTATCCACAAAAATATAATAACTTAGATAATAACCATATTAAAACATACAAATACAATACATTACAAACAGGACATGAAATGCATATAGCTGGTACTTCCCAGAGATCTCTCGGTTACAGCTCTGGATGTGCAAAAACAATGTTATCACCATTATTATTACTTTATCTTTCCACACAAGACATTTGAAATAAATTACAGTCTGATAGAAAACCTTTCACTTGCACACACGACAAATATGATTAAATGTACAATGGCGGAAAGTATGATATTGAACATTTGCTAATAGTGACGCACAGCACTTTTAAAACGTTAGTACGAACACAGACAGACGCTTTTGTGTGGCCGAGTCTCCATACTTATTACTATTTTACATTTATAGTCATATGATACATCGGATCAGGTGACAGGACATGGACTCTAAGTTATTGCATAGTGGTTCCTCTCTCAGTAAGAAACGGTTGAGACTGCGATATTAGTTTGATTATCCATAAAGCAGCAGTATGTGACATCAGTCTGTAGCTGGCAATGTAGTCACTCCCTGTATATGATGCATTTTGATAGCTTATTGCTTAACATATGTTTTATTGCAAAGAATGGAGGATGCTTTGAACCATATTATATCTGATAGAACTGATAGGATATACAGTATTTACACATGCGCAACTGACGATTCCATTAATCCATTTGGCAGTCAATGTAATGGAAGTCTTTGGAAAAGTTGGACCACATTTTGCAGCATTGAAAACACATTGACTTGTTACAAAGATTTCTAACAATCTTTACTTATAGAACACACAATGGAACACGCCACTTTCTATCCGCGTATTATCAGCGGAGACCACATTAACTTATTGATAGAATTCTTGTTGGGATCTCCTCGCTCTCGAACACGTCTTGGAGCAAACTGGATTCAACCAGTTCAGAGTTCGCTCCGAATATATGTGCGTAATATTTTTTCCGCCTCTGCTTTCCTTCTTATGAGAAGTCCATTGCAGTTTGAGCATGGATCTTTTTTTTGCAAACAGTCCTCCAGCCCAGTCATAATCAAACTCATAAAAAAGTCTTGTCTCTAAGTCTTCATTTACAGACGCTGACCCATTCTGTTATTCGACATTCTTCGCACACGACATAGCAACACCAGTGGAACTTGCAATTGCATCGTTCGCTTCGCGTTTGCTGGAGGATGTTATGCCCCCTCCCGCAACACAGACTCTCGCAGTTGTCCATTCCCGGGCTGGTCTTGTTGCAAATGCGACCAAAAGTCCCGGCCGAGTCTGAACTTAAGTCCCTCTCGCAGAAATCTGGGCTCTTCTCGAAGTAAACCAGTTCGTTGGAGCTGGGTCGCCGGCGGTGGTGGTGGTGGTGGTGCCTGTGGCTGTTGTGGTGGTGGTGGTGGTGGTGGTTGTGGTTATTGCCGCTGTGATGGAAGTCGTGTCCGTTGTTGCCATTGTGGTTGTTGTTACCGTGGTCCAGCTGGCCCGTGTTGCGGTTGTGGGCTTTGATGAGCGTGGCGTAGTCGAAGCGTTGTTTCAAGATGGAGCCCACCACTCGGAACTCCGGGGTGACCTGCCAGCACGTCTTGAGTTGGCAGCTGCCGGACGTCCCGTGGCACTTGCACTTCCGTCGCATGTGGTTCAAAACGACCTGGAAAAACAGAAAAACTGGAGGTTAGTCATCAAATACGGTCAAAATGACTACATTCCAAAATTCCTGAAATCTGAAAAGGACTTGCAAAAATGTTGATGCATCCATAGGAAAATAAAACAACATTGGAAAAAGCCATTGGTCGTTGAAGAAGAGTTTGATCAATATTCACAGAGATCTCCCTAGTTTGGTTCCATCACAAGCTTTTACATGCATGAATTATTGACCTCTGTCACTTCTTCAGATCAGATTTTTTTTCTGAAAGAGAAGACTGTCAGTAATGATAATGATATAAAAACAGAGACTGAAAAACGTGAGGCCAATCCCCTCTGCTCTCTCCACGGAGCTACAGCGTGGGCAGAGCTTCCAAGGTCTCCATTCAGACAATCTGCTCTTAGCCCAAAGTGTTAAAATGGTGATAGTTGGAACAAAACACAAAAGTGAAGGACCCCAGGGATAAGTTATTGGATCCTGGGCGAAATACAGAACTATTCATGGACAGGAAAAGCTTACCGCAACTATCAACATCGCCGTTTGAATAAAAAAAGAATGTAGTCAATAAAAATAATTTCAATTTCTGGTACGTTACAAACAACTATAACACTTCTGGTGCCAGAATCTTGCTGCCTATGACACATGTTGCACCTACGGACTGATTATTGATCCATCTGCGGGAGAAAAGCAACACACAATATAAACTCAAATGGTTAAAAAAAAGAAAAAAAACTAGCTAAAATGTTATTTTAAAAACTGTCAATATAATCAATTCAATTCAATTCAATGTATACTTGTATAGCCCTAAATCAAAACAGAGGACTACAAATAAAATAATAAAAAAGTATGAATCCTAAATGTATCTTTCAAAGCCTCTAATGCGATCCAGAGCCATTATTACTTAAATGTTTACAAAAACTGGTTTATACAAATAACTATATGCTTAAGAAAAGGGTTAGCATCCAAATCAAAGCACAACCCAAGCCCGCCACCCAGCTCGAAACCTTTTATACAGTGAAAGAAGAGGGAAAAACTAAGCAATTACATCACACAAGAATTAGAATTAAGTTTGATTTATTCTCTACACATTTAGAAAGTCTGATTTTGTGTCTGAGGTAATGCTCATGTCGTCGCTCAGTCACTTTTTGTTTGCTTATAGTTTGCCACTTCACTGTTTCACTGCACAACCAGAGAATGAAGAAAGATCGGCCCCGCATTAAAACGCCGGTGGTCTCCGTCTGACGAGGAATATCAAATATCACTGATGGATGCAGGCGCTACACCCAAACATATACAGCCAGCTTTTTTAAGCTTTTGTACAAAGAATGTCCCCAGTCATGGCAAGTATTAATACTAGAGTATAGTATTGGAATCGTCGTTCTCTACACCAGAGGTCTCCAACCTGTTGCTCAGGAGCTACCAGCAGCTCGTCTGCCACTTTCAGGTAGCTCCCCAAGGATTCCGAATTACGCACATGATCCTGAATGAATACGGTTTGAGTCATTACATATATGTTATAAGTGTAATTATGGGGTTATGCAGTATATTTTACTTGTGTTCTGGCCTATTTACCTTGAATTGTAGTACGACTGAAAACAGGTTTAGCTCTCTGCCTCTTCTGTTGTTTGAACGTAGCTCTCTGCCTCTTCTGTTGTATAAACGTAGCTCTCTGCCTCTTCTGTTTTATAAACGTAGCTCTCTGCCTCTTCTGTTAAATGAAAATAGCTCTCTGCCTCTACTGTTGTATAAAAGTAGCTCTCTGCCTCTTCTGTTTTAAAAACGTAGCTCTCTGCCTCTTCTGTCATTTGAAAGTAGCTCTCTGCCTCTTCCGTTTAAAAAAAGTATCTCTCTGTCTCTTCTGTTGGATATAAGTAGCTCTCTGTCTTGTTTTATAAAAGTAGCTCTCTGCCTCTGCTGTTGCATAAAAGTAGCTCTCTGCCTCTTCTGTTGCACAAAAGTAGCTCTCTGCCTCTGCTGTTGCATAAAAGTAGCTCTCTGCCTCTTCTGTTGCATAAAAGTAGCTCCCTGTTTGAAAAAGGTTGGGGACCGCTGCTCTACCCTGTGTCCATGAGTGGGATAGAAGTAGTTGTTGGAGTTCCACGTTGAAAACACTGTCTAAACCAAAACAGACACTTAGAAATCCCCAAATCCATGTTGTATATTCGACTCGTCTGCGGACGTAGGTGTCAGTAAACACATGTTTAGAGACGTCTTTTTAAAATAGCGGTAATTGGCAACATGCACAACAGGCCACACACAGATAGGTTTTCGCTTACATCTTTAGCCCATTTTTTGACCTTTTGTTAGTATAAATTTGAACAAAATGTCCCCCAAAAATCATTACAATGATGATGTTTGGAAAAGTACATCTTGATAGGATTATGTTTTTTCAGTTGTGCTTGTTCTACTATTATTTAAAAGTCTCCATTTTGAAAACCATATGACCAGATAAGTGGCGTCCAGTGATAACATGACTTTGAATTATCTTCACTTCTATATCAGCATCTGTCTTTGATATCGGCCTGTTCCAATGTTTTGTCTTCATTTTCTGGACCTCGCAGCGAGAACTTTAAATTCAGGTTTATATCCTGAGATTTCCGTAACCACGTTTGACATTTGACAAATATTTTTTACATAGCACAGCATGATGATTTATTGTATGTGTCTTTAAGTACCACCTTGTTGATTCATGTTTTTTTCCTTTACTTACTTATGTTGCAAATACACTGGCTATAACTTCTACCAACTATTTTTTTAATGTATTTGAATGGGGTAGTGTTTTTTTTTAACAAACACTTACTACAGTAGTGATATGCTGCTTTTGCCTGCACAGAACTGGGAAAAAAACATTTGTAAATGCTGCTCCGTCTACATAGAACGTGTTGCAAAACTGAACTCATTTCATTGAATGCTTTTAGATCCAAATTGAGAGCACTTGGGACATCCTCATTGAAATGTAACTGTTTTTATAATCTGTAATTGTATGTCATGTATGTCCAGGACTCCCTTAAAAAAAGGTTCTTAATCTCAATGGGACTTTTCTGGTTAAAGTATAAAAAAATCTACCCTAGACAAGTTTTGCTGTATTCATTTTGTACATGTTTTAACTGAAACCGGAGCACCTGGAGAACATGCAAACTCCACACAGAAAGACCCCACTTGCCACCCCAGAGTTGAACCCAGGAACTTACAGTATTACTGAAAAGCAAGAGTCCTAAAAACTGTGCCAGTTTGTAGAATCACTTTTTCTTCTGCTATTGCTACTATACTACTACTGCTACTACTATTACTGCTGGCATTTCTATCATTTGCTGTTATTTTGTCATACTAAAAGTTCATTTTGTGACATCATACGAGTAGGAATGCTAAACATTTTCACTACTTTTGCGTGTAATGGGCGAAGCAAATGTCCCAAACTATGCATTATGCACATAAACACGTTCAAGTGGTAGACAGAGAGTGTTGAAAAGAAAGTTTCCAAACCTGAAATCAGCGGTTACAGATCCTAGGGCTGTGCTACCATTGAGTAAACAACATTATAATACAGCCTTTGCTTCACAGCGCAAACCTCTCTCTCTTTCTGTTTTTTCTTCCTCACAGGGGCCACGGCAACCCCAGAATCACAACTGGCATTGCCCTAAACACACTGCATGGCCTCTAATCTTCCAGCTCCACAGCCCACTTAAACGTTCAAGAGACAAACTGACCCGCAGAGCGTAATTGCATCCACATTGCTACTGTTTGAGTGCGCCGCCAATACCCCGGCACTTCAAAGCCCGTAGGAAAGTAATGGAAAGGTGAAAGAGGTGTTTTTCATGGAGCCGAGTCGCACAAAGACATAAACACTTGCATAGCTGGGGGAAATTAGGGTCCACAGATTAGAAATGGTTGGTATAATGTTTATGGACACTCTCTCCTAAAATGTAGAGTCTGGAACAGTTGCTGACAGCGACAATTAAAACCGTGATGGATGTGTAAAGTCTTTAGAGTGGTAGGCTGGAAAAAAAATCGATTCTGTTCAGCAGGGCCTGGGTAGTACTGTGATGGGAGACCTCTAGGAACACCAAATCCCACAGTGAGGCGGCTGTAAAGTGCCAATCTGTCGTAGTGTCCTTAGGCAAGACACTTCACCCACATTGTCTGAATGGTTGGTGGTGGTGGGAGGGACTGATGGTACATACTGGTCGGGCGGCACAGTGGCTAAGTGGATACAAGATACAAGAATTTATTTGCCTGTAAAAGCACGTTGGAAAAACGGTGTAAGACTACCCCAGTGTATACCAGATAGCGCTCTCGCTTCTCAGCAAGAAGGTCCCTGGTTTGAATCCTGGTCGGAACAGGACCTCGTTAGTTGCACTTCCTGTTTCCTGATGACCTACCCTCACCTCACCTGTGTTTCGTTTGTCTTGTATTTGAACCCTGTGTATTCCTTCACTGCCTGTTCTGTCTTTCTCTTTCCACGTCTTTTCCGTTCTTGCCCTCACTCCCTGTGTTTTCGCTGGATTTGTGTTACTTTTTATGAAATCTATTGTTTTTCAGTTATGCGTTTTTGATTTCATTTTACCCACATGACAGAATCGTCACTTTTTTACCTATTCCCTGTCCCCTAGTGTGGACTTTTATTACATGTTACCATTGGCTTTCTGGGATGATAACCAGAGGATGTACGATACAATTGGATAAGTTGTCATCCATCAACTTCTATCACCTTCCAAAGAAGATGTGACATGCTTCATCTGAAATCTCATTCAACCTGGAGAGACTACAAGAGACGAGATGCGTTTAAGAGTTGTTTATTTTATGGATTGAGTTTGTTTATTGGTTTGGAGCTTAGGCCCCGGCTGTGGCCGTGCTCTGAAGAGATCTGCGCCTGGGTGCAGATCATGATCCCCAAAAAGAGAGCTTGGCTAGCGATGCGTTTGCCATGACTTGGTTGCTGCGTTTATGGAAGGCGCATGGTGTGAGTGACTGTTTCCGTGCGCGAGCTCGGCTCTAGCGCTAGGCGT